TGGCGGCTGTGCGTGGTTTATCAGTGTGACTGAGCGCAGCGATGATCTTTGCTCTGAGGCTCACAGCTGAGCCGCCGCTTGCTCAGTTGGGAACACAGCGCACACCCGGGCTCATCGTACATCAGATGGTGTGTCAGTATTTGCCATGCAGGAGAATAGCAACATGTCGGTCATGTAGGGCGTACCAACAAAACAGTCAACATTTTTTAATTTGTAAAGCGTACACCAATTCTTAACCACCTCCCCTGAAGTGTACACTTATAAAAATGTTAAAAACAGTAAACTGTCACTTACATATGTGTTGTCTGTTTCTCTACATAAATACCAAGCTGTGTATGAGTTGTAAAAATAATAATACTTATATACCAGGAGGTTGACGCTCAAACACTGCTACACGCTTCACCACAGCGTTAAGACAGGCTTCTCTTGGCAGCATTCTTAAAATGTTTTATCTTAGCCTTCTTCCATGTGAAAGCAAAAGCTCTAACGTCTTTGTGTATATTTCATACAGCAGGGAAGGAATATCCTGTCTCAGATGTTTTCTTCACGTTCAGACATTCTTCCCTGCCAAGTCGTGCTGATATAGGCCGCCGGCAACAACGGCGTTCCAATATGAAGCTCTGTGAACAGTCTGGACAAGCAGACGACACAAAACATATAAAAACACGAGTAAGAAAGGAACCATTCTGAAACCCTCTGTTCAAATAGCATGGACTCGTTGCTGGCTCTCGCTTGCTTTAACTCCAAATGCAGGTTAATTTTTTAGGAAAATGTTACCAGGCATGGAAGGAAACACAACTCCCCTCCTGAAATCAACATGGACTCCTTCACTCACCTCCCCTGCTTAGGAAATGATTTAAGCAGGACCATGTGTGTGTAGATGTTGAATAATATGTCACTTAGAGGGCCAAGAGGACGCAGAGAGCAGCATACCTGCTTCTCATTAGGACAGCTAAAAGGACCTTGAGGCCTTTTAGGAAAAGGTGGGATATTATACATTTAAAAGGAGAAGATATACTTACAGTCACTGTCATACTCATCAACGATGCGCTCAGCTCTTTATTTGTGGACACCTTGATGATGAACAGGTCAATTAGAAGGACTGAATGGGAGTAGTTGGTAATATCAGTCGGTCTGTTTTGAAGAAGTTGAATCAGTTTGACCTACGGCTGTTTTCCGTCCTTTGCAAGCCGAAGAATATTCCCCCCCCAAATTGAATTATCTGGTTGCTAATAAAGACCAGGTCAAGAGCTAAAGGATTTTCTTCAAACTACAAATCAATTCTGCGGTTTAACAGAGTCCAACACGCACATGCTTTTCCTTTTGTCTTATCTGTGTTTGAGATAAGGCAGCGCGTTGTATCATTGGAGCCGCGTCAGAAAGAAGTACTAGAATAAATAGAGCCATGGACAAATTGCTTAATTCTTTCTCTCTGGTGCTATCTCTGTCTGGAGCTGGCTGGCTGTGAGCCTTTTGATGTCTGTGAAGTGTGTGTGTGTGTGTGTGTGTGTGTGGGGGGGGGGGTGTCCCCTGTGTGTTTGTCTCAGTGTCAGTGGTGACACTTTACCATCCTGTGCTAAAGAGGCTTGCAAATATTTTAAAAAGACTCAAAACATGTTTTATATCTTGGAACAAGCTTTCTTGTCTTCTTGGCATTTTCCCACTTCTTACCCAGAATAACAAGTTCTGCAAACACTAAGCATTTATTTCACAACAACTCTGCAGGATCAGTAAAGTTCTATCTTATCTTATGTGACAACCTTGAATTAACTTGCCTCTATGTTTTTGGTTTCTTCTGTCAATTACAAGCAGGTGATGGGTCTGCTGAACCCCGGCGGTGTACCACACCAGCCCCAAAGCGACTACGCCATCTCCCCTCTGACGGGCGGCCTCGAGCCCCCTGCCGGCATGACGGCCAGCTGCAGTCAGCGCATGGACCACATCAAAGGCCTGGAGGGTCTCACCAGCGTCCCCTCCATGTCTGCCCTGCCCTCCCTGCCCAGTTCCCAGTCCTACTGCACCCCATCGTACAGCTCGCCGGGCTACACGGTCGACCACGTCGCGTCCTACCAGTACAGCCAGTACGGACAAAGTAAGGTCAATAGTCTCCCCTTTTTATCTTCACTTCACATTTCTACACCCCTGACAGCTACCATAGTCAGAAACTAGAATCTTCTGTCGCACATTACTGTTTAAAAACGACAAAAGGAAAAAAATAATAAAAATAAGTGAATATGTTATTATTTTTAATGGACTAAGCCACAAAGACGCAGTTAAATAAATCTTTAGAGCTTGTGATTCAGTAAAACTGCCCGTTATAAAATAGTCTGTAACAAAAAAGGTCTTGTGTTTTACTGTTACACAGATAGGTTCACTAAAATAAAAATATGAATTACTTTTTATGTTTTTCTTGGGGGAGTGGTGGCGCAGAGGCTAGAGAAGGTGAGCCTGTGAATGGAAAGTTGTCGGTTCGACTCCTCAGACCGACAACATCAAAATGTGGGTGGGTAAGGTGAAACACCCACACCTGCCTCCACCCTCACTTGCCCCACTCTGAGCCCCTGAGCAAGACCCTTAACCCCCACCCTCTGCTCTCCCGGGCACCCTAGATAGCAGCTCTCTGCTTCTTACAGAGGGCTGTGGTAGCTCAGTGTCTGTGGTTGTGTCAGGAAGAACATCCGGCGTGAAAATAATCACCAAGTCTTAGTGCGACTTAGTTCACTGTGACCCCTGAAGAAGGGAGCAGCTGAAAAAGAAGAATTTTCTAAATATCTTCTCTTCGGTCATTTCATATTTGATTATTGAATGAATACTCAGATATCTGAAATTTTCTGTTCTGCAAACTGAATGATAACTTGGGCAGATAGACACAGTGATAAAATTCAGGTGTTTTCTCTAATTTGCATTTCAAACTTGTTAAATTTAGTTCATGAATAAATTATTTTTTCTCGATCCACCACAGCTGCTGAGTTATTTCTGCAGTAATTGAGCACAATTTAATCAGAAGTATGAATATTTTCTTCACTTGAACCAGTAATCCTTCTTTTTTTTACCTTTACTGTCTGAGTATATTTGTTGTTGAAGCTCCTGCGACAGAAATCCAAACAGAAACTTAAGGAAGATTCAAAACGTAAAGGAAATAAGCATATGTAGCTTTATGCCACCATGCTATCGTTGCTTCGAAGCTCGTTTTATCATGATGTTAAGAATGCAGCAAGGTCCTTGTGTTTCTAATTTTTTTGTGGTTGCTGATGAAACCAACATAAATTAGTTTGTTTGTGACTGCGCATTTGTCTGAAGGCCTACAGATCAATAGACAACAGATCCACCAAGCCAGAGGGAGGTGTTTTTAATTTACGACCCTCAGTCATGTCCAGAATTTAACCGCTGAGCAGTTCCTCTGTGCCCTTACCCTAAAATCATTTATACCAAAGCCACTTTATTTGAGGCGAGTCAGACAGTGTGGGTGTAATTACCACTCTTGTAGACCACTGCTCTGACGTTGGCACTTTCCCATTTTTCTTGTTTGTTTGTATGGCCCTAAGGGGGCTGCAGTGCTGCTTACCAGGTCCACCTTACTTTTATGTCTCCTGTTGCAGAGCGAAAAGGAGGAATCAGAAATAAACTCCGTCCATCCTTGCATGTTGTGAGCATGATAACTTAAACAATAAACGTGATACCAATCTCCATTTTGGCAAATGGCTACATTTAGGCATCAGAAAGATTCCTTTTGAAAATTGGGTTGCCAAGTCAGAATCCAAAATGGCTGCTGCCTTATATGTATATATGTAAAACTTGTGATCTGGATAACTACAAAAAAAAGTATTGTGTCGATTTCCATTTTGGTGTGTGGCAGCATCAGGGCTTAAGAAAAGTCATTATTTAAAATTGGGGTGCCACGTTAAATTCCAAGATGGCCACCACCATATATAAACTGACTTCCCCAATCATTTGAGGAAACTATGCTTTTTAGTTTTTATATTGCTTAAAAGTACAGTTTCCTGAAATGATTGGGGTGGTAGAAGATTAATCTATGGGGGCCAAGGCCATGATTGGCCACCCCCTGGCTCCACCATTGTACCTGGTCCTTGATAAAATTGCTCACCAGGATTGCTCTGCGCCGGCTCAGACAAAGTTAAAAATAAAAAAACCTATCTTTGTTCTTCTTTGTTTTTCCAAAATGGTTTAAATCATATTTATCTGATAGATTCCAGTTTGTAAATATAAATAATTAATCTTCTTATACCAAAGTTAGTCATGGAGTTCCTCAGGATTCAGTGCTTAGACCACTACTATTTACTTTATATCTGCTTCCATTATGCAAAGTTATTAAACAGCATGGGATAAATTTTCATTGTTATGCTGATGATACACAATTATATTTGTCCATGAAACCCAATGAATTGTTAAGTTGTGAACTGGCGCTACGTATATAAATAAATTGATTTGAAATTCTCCACAGCGTAACTTCTACCTACTTAAATATCTTGCATCAAAAACATTAAGCTTTACTTGCATTCCCTGTTTAATTCCCATTCAGAAAAACACTTACTATGTTGAAAATTACAAACACTCACTATTCAAATCCCTCAGCGGTGGGGGACATCGCTCGTTTGCTTTGGGTCATGCCGTTGTGCTCTCAAGTGTTGGGTTTAATTGCGCCGATCTGATTCCATCTACGAAGTATTTAGAGCGGCGCTGATGCAGAACTCCATGCTTAGCTACACAAAATCAGTTCTCATCAAAGTGAAGGGGGGGGCACCAGTGGTGTCTGTTAGTACCCCACCGTCTCCCCCTAGAGTGTTTGCCCTCTGAGATTACCTGCAGCAAGAGGGTCTTTTCACTTCACATTACTCTGTGAAGAGCTCAAATCAAGTTCAAACAAATCATCCAACTTTGGAGGGCAACGTCACTCTTTGTCACATCATGATTACCGCGGTTGGTGTTTCCAGTCGTGGTCCACAGGGGGTTGGCCAATCAGGTTCATTGACTGACCCCGTGGCAACCTCAACACAACCGGGGCCTTCAAAGAGCGTGCTGGTGACCCAGTGAGCCTGACTCTGCGTGCCTCTGCGTGGCTGCAAGTATCAAATGAATATCTAACTTAATATCCGAGAGCAGCAAACGTCTAATGAAATATCTCGGTCCAATGTCTTAATATGGAGAGAATCAAGAACTGAAGTGTACAAAGCACAGCACACGCAGTCTTCAGCAGCGTTACAGGGCTGAACGGTCCATCTTGATGTGATTAATCAGTGCGACTGGATAGCTGGTGTGCGGCTGGGTTTGGAGCTGCAGAGGTACGGTCCTTTTCTAAGGCTGGATGGATCCTAATCGCCTCTGGCAGGGCAGCTATTGGAAACAGGTGCTCGGACCGAGGTCAGCTGGGGAGGCAGCGCAGAGCGGTGCCGCTCCAGCTTCCAACTTCGCAAAAGAAAGCGCACCACACCAGACTGCCTCGTGGAAATTACAGCTGTGATCCATAAAACACTTGTTTTTATTTAGCTAATGTCCCTGTTGCCTAGCAGACACTGCGTGCTGCTTCTAAACTGTGCTTCAAAGCTGACAGTCGGTCCGGGTGGAAAAGGTGATTTTCTGTCTTTACCTGTTCAGCTGTAAAGACAGGTACACCTCTATCCTCTATAAATCACAGACCCAAAACGCTCCACTTCCTGTACATCACAGGAAACACTGCAGGATCCATCTTTATAAACACCCCAGAAATCGTCCATCATTAAACTGGATGGAGGCCTCCGGGTTCAACTGTCCCCCTCTTACAATGCTGTTATTGCTAGTATCACTCAACCCCCTGTGAATAGTAAACAGCCATCAGTGTGCTAATGATCCACCGTTAGGCTGATGGTCCTTCTTGACCATGTGAGCAGCTGGTTTTGGTTGTCAGCAGCAAACTGGTTGATCCACTTTGAGAAGGTGCTATTTAAGAGACTGAGCTGAAAACAGCACCTCAGACTGAGGAAGTCTCTCGGACGAGAGACGAAACGTTTCTATATATATTTTTTTTTGCTTTGTTTTGTTTTTTGTTTTTTTGAATGTCCAGAGGACCAGATTGAACTTTTTTGGATTTTTCTACCTGGATTATTGAGCATGCATCAGGATATCTTTATAAACACTTTTTATTTTAACTTTGATCTTGTGTGAAACGTCTGCTACTGTCTCAAGTCAAACCCAGAAGTCTTTCCAGTTTTAATAATCTTTGCCTAAATCTATGACTGTAACTACTACTATGAAGATTTACAATAAGCACTCATTTTGAAATATAAGTTGATATTTTGAAACGATCCAAGGACTTCCCTCTCTGTGTTTCATGGCCCACAGTGGGGTCCCAACCTCATCTTTGACATCCACAGATCTAGTTTATCTCGGTTAATTTTATTAAGTTGTTATTCAACTTTATGATACTAAAAACACATTTGCAATCAGTCAGTCACAAAATATGAGTAAACATCTGTCTACTTAAAAGGATACGCAGAAGAAAACAGCAACGCTTGATGAATTTTCAGTTAATCCATTATTCACACACACATTGTGTATACATACACAATGCATACAATATATTACAACATTAGACATGCTTTACTATTTTATTCTGCTTTGCATTCTTGTTTGGTAAGGTCTTAACATTACTGATCATAACTTTTTATTTTTTCAGGTACCACCAATACAGCTAATGCCTTACCATATTTTTCAGCCTATAAGTCACTTTTTTTTGCATACTTTACATGCCTGTGACTTATACGCCGAAGTGACTTATTTATGTTTTTTCCCATATTTAAATCAATTTTTGGCTGAGATATGACCGGTTTCATTCATTCTGACTGAAAACATTGAACACTACCATTTTCAGCTGCTAGATGGCACTCGAGTAGTATGGCATGCCGTTGTGTCATGTAATAGGTAAAAGTGGCTATTATTGACACAGTTGTCTTGCCATAGACTGCCATCTTCATCCAGCTCGGACGAAGCTACCATCAAATTAGCTTCATTTCTTTGCACCCACCCTAGAGAAATCAGCTGATTTGACCATTGAAGTGCATTTATTAAGTAAAAGTTCAACTGAGACACACATTTACTATAATGTCGAGCAAACAAATAATTGTTTTTAGGTGGTTATCTTGTTAAATTTTGAAGCAATGCACAGCGAGTCCTCCCATGTTTCCACAAATCGGGTTTTGAAATGCAGCTGATTTGACTGTTAAAGTGTATTTATTAAGGAAAAGGTAGACTGAGACACACCTTTACTATAATTTTGAGCAAACATATAATTGTTTTTAAGTGTTAATCTTGTTAAATTCTTGTTAAAGTCCTCCCCTGCATGCTCCCCTGGCCACCATTTGGCAGCCAATCGATTTTTGGCACAACACTGGCCCACATTTGTGTTGGGTTGTCAGCAGTGACACAAGTAGATGCGATGTATATGGCGAAGCAACATATTTATGGATTTTTCTACTTTTTTAGACATATTTGGACTGATGTGACTTATAGGATGGTGTGTGATGTGTACGGCAGAAAATATGGTACATAAACTTGTTTATTTTTATTTTTATCAAAACCTCCAAATAAGGATTTATTTTGTAATCTAAGTTGCTGATGTTTTGATGTATAAACTGTATCAGGTGTGTAAAGAGAATCAAGATCTAAAGAAATGTTAAAGATGCTATTAAATTCAGTTCAGGTTATTTCTATAGCACCAAGTCACAACAGAAGTCGTCTCAGGACACTGAACAGAAACATTCATAAACATAATAAATACATTAATTACATTATTTATCTGAGGAGCAGACTGCTTTGTCTCATCACTTTGTCACAGTCTCCCATCCTGAGCAAGCACAAAGGCAACAGTGGAAAGTTTGTTTCATTCACCATGGTAACCCCACATTTGTGTCTGTCACTCCCTGACAGCAGTTTTAACAGGTATACAGGGAGAAATGCAGTAAGACTCAAACAAAGGTTCCTGTTCAAAGGGAGTCATTCCTTTCCACTGTCGCCAAACTGCTGCTCAGGATGGGAGAGATTTGATGCAACCATACAGTGATACATTTTACTAACTGGCATTTCATGAATTTTACAGAATTTCATTTAAATTATGAGTGAAGTTTTTACTGTAAATTTCTTAATAGAGTTGTTTTTTTTTCACTAATTTCTCCAAAATCCCGTTGTTGTCCATTAGGAAATGCTTCAAGGTTTTGTAAAGCTTATCTACGTTTTACTGCAGCAAATACTCAACGCTCACCGGTTGAGCTGCACGTTGTGGTGTATTTTTGTATCGGTCTTTAAAAGCTGTGGAAGAGATGCACATCAGAAATTGTTACAGAAAAATTTGATTAATTGACTAATAGTCGTAAAACTGTCCAATGATCAGGCGTTTGTCTTTGCCTAACTCTATTTTGTGTTTGTTATGTATATCTAAAACGTTTCTGAAGCATTGTTGACTTCCATGTGGACACAACCAGCAGAATTTAGAGAACCAGTTAAGAACTAACATTTATTTATTTATTTGTTTATTTATTTAAAGCATTTTTTCTGATTTGTTTATGGTGGTGGAGCTTTCACGTTCAGTCTTGTTGTAATCAGACCCAGTGTTTGATTCACGTGTTCTTTATGCAATTTTTCTTCAGTTTGAATTTTTTTCTTTACCGATATATATATATATATATATATATATATGTATATATATATATATATATATTTTTTTGGTAGCTTTTTTTTCTTCACACCTGTGCCACCCCCCTGCTCTGACCTTCCTCTCCAAATCACTGCTGTTTCATGCTATGCTAACAGCAGCCACATGCTAGCTGGACTAAAACATGTGCTCAAAGTTTACAGCTGCCATATATCTTCTTTATCATCTTCCTCGGCGCTGCTAACAGCTGTTTTCTTCACATTTTTTTCCAGGTGCCCTTCCTTATCTGAGGCCTGAGATCACCTGATCAGTGGTTTCACAGGTGGACCTGTGTGTGCACCGCAACAGAAAAGCCTTAATATCTGGACCAAAACGTTCTACCATGTATCAGGACCTGTTCTCCACGGCAGATTATTATCTTAGTAATTACAACAGAGGAATGGACCAAAAGAAACATAAAGAAGGGATCAAGATGAGCAAAACCTGCTGAGTGACTGTGAACGTTGATGAACAGCAGAGCTGTGGGAGAAGTCAGCTCAGTGAGGCACTTTCCACTGACAGTGTTTCACAGAACTTCGTCTTCTGTGGCATCTTTCAGAGGACAGCGAACACAAATCTATATCCCAGGACAACTCTTACATCTCTGTGCGTTGCATGTAAAACTCCATATATCTCCAAACATTCCCACTGATTGACGAGGGGGAAGAAAAGGGCTTTGTCATGTTTTGTTACCTTCATTTATACGATGTCTCCACACCCACATGTGGAGAGGAACTCCAGAGAGAAAGGAAAACCAAGTCAAGCTAACAAATATATAATTTTACTGTATCAGACACACTAATGCACACTGCAGCTGTACAGCAGGGGGAGTTTATCCAAACATGTCTCCCCCCTCTGCCCCCCAGTCCCCATCTCTCCTCCTCTCTGTCCCCATGTCTCATTGATGTTTTCAGATGGTGAGCTGAAGATCCCAGTCTTTTGTAGTTTTTTTTATCAAGGAGGTCAAAGGGCGACTTCAGGGAAAGTGACAGATGAGACAGCAGGAGCGGAGGGCGGCAGACCAGTGGCTTTAAAGAAGAGTGGGATAGATGGGGGGGTCGGCTGGACAAGCAAGATCGATCACAGTGTCAAAGAAAACCTTTAAAGATCCCTTTTCAGCAAGGAAAAGCCAACGGGTCACAAGTCACGACCAAGAGACACTCAGTTTAAGACTGAGGGCGGCCACTCACATAGCTGACCACAAGTGCAATATCACATGTCTTAGAGTCAACCTCATCTTTAAAACCATTGGACAGGACAAATAAACTCAGCGTCCTCTTGAAGTCTGAAGAAAGGATTTAGATCCACACTTTACATCAGGTTTTGTACAGTCGTAGGGGTCTGCAACCTTTACAGTGAAAACAGTCTTTGCTGCCCCTTTTCTCACAAAATAAAATGTCCAGAGACACAAAACCTTTGTTAAGGTTAAAATCATATCAGTGCAACTCATCATTAGTTTTTATTTAAATTCTACAGCATGGGTTTGTCTTTATGTGGGCCTGTCACCTGCAGGAGGGACCATATGTGTCGGGTGTGGTGTGCTATGGGATGATAAAGCACCCTGACACCAAAGCTGGCTCTTGGGACGTGGGACTCTGGTGCAGAAGGAGGCTGAGCTTGTGCGGGAGGTGGAGCAGTACCGACTAGATGTAGTTGGGCTCACCTCAAGGTACGGCATGGAAATTGGAACTGATGTTCTTGACATGTGCTGAACTTTATTCCACTCTGGAGTTGTCCATGGTTGGAGGTCCTGAGCTGGTTTGGGCCTACTTCTAGCCTCCTGGCTTGGTGCTGTCTGTTGGAGTTTGACCCAATTAGAAGGAAGGGAGGGACGAGCTTTAACTGTAGCTTGTGCCTGCGTGCTGAACAGCAGTTCAGAGTACTCAGTCTTTTTGGAGTCCTTGGGACGGTAGAGACTTTATCATCCTGCTGGGTCCTGACCTAGGGTCCTTACTCACGTCAGAGCGCAACTCAGTTACAGAGGTCAAGACAAGGATAGCTAAAGCTGCCGGTGGCCTTGCTAGACTCAAACATGTTTGGAAGGACAGATCGTTATTGATGGCTCCCAGAGTTCGACTCCTATGTGCACTTGTTTTGTCAGTCCTTCTCTATGCTGCAGAAACCTGAAACTTGAACACTGAGATACAGATATCTGCGTGTGCATGCAGGGAACATCCTCCTCATAATTCGCAGATGACATCCGCAGCTGGACAGGGCTCCTGTTCCATGTCCTCGTTCGTCTTGCTGAGGGTCAGTCCAGATGGAGGTTGCCTTCACAACACTAGGCTAAGAGACTGATGATGATGATCATTCTGCTGGGGGACTTCAGTGCCCACATGGGTGGTGACAGTGTGATCTGGAGGGGCATCACTGGGAAGAACAGCCTCTGATCTGAAACCAAGCAGTGTTGTGTTGTTGTTCGTCCATCACAAACTCCTTGTTGGAACATAAGGTGTCCAGAAGTGGACGTGGCACCAGGACACCTGAGACCTTGTAGTCATGTCGTCTGATCTGCAGCATGTTTTGGACACTCGGGTGAAGAACTGTCACTGATCACCACCTGACAGTGGGTTGGACCAGATGCCTGACAGACCCAAACGTGTGGTTGCTCAGAGTTCATCACTAACTTACTCCCAGCAAGTTGCTGTAAATCTGTAAAAATGTTTAACTGCCCAATGGATTTCAGAGGAAGACCACGCTGTCTGACTGGAAGTTCAATTAACACAGTGGGAAAAGAGCTCACCAGTGATTAGAGCTAACTGACTGATGGGCTTGTTCGTCTTCATCAGATCGTTCTGTTCCAGAAACTCTGTTCATAAGAGAACAGTTAGCTTTTCATCTTCTAGCTCTACATTTACAGAATGGCTCTGTTATTGTTGGATTATGAGCCGCATGCGGCCTCAGACCCACTGGTTGCAGACCCCTGGACCATAGTAAGAAACATGACTTGTAAAGTATTTGAGTTAAAAACAAACAGGTTCTTTGTAACGATTGAACCATATTTGTAAAGACTAAATGAAGAAAACTCCAGAAAACAGAGAACAATGACCTGATGCCAAAACCTAAATTGAACATTTCATGATTTTGGGACCGTTTTGATTTTCTTCCAACTTGCAATATCAAATACTGATGAGGTTTGTTACGTTTATTGTGACAAAGTGATCCGAGTGTGAGCAGCGTGGTCCAGCTAAGTGATAGCAACAATAAAAACCACGTCTGACGCTCTCCTGTTTACTGAACAGTCCTTTCATTCCATCCATATTTCTCTTTGTGTAATTTGACAAAGCAATGCAACGTCACGTCATGTGTACAACTCATTATCATTGCTATTTATAATAAAATAAAAACCTCTGAAAACAGATGCTTTTTTGGTGCGTTGTGCTAATTGTTAAATAGCCTCTTTGTGCTTATTTTTTTGGGCGGGGGGGAGAATGGCATTTGTCTGTGATCCACTGTAAAGAAGAGCAGAAGTACACTCAGAGACAAATGTGTACTTTTGAAGGGACTCATGTGAAGCCTCCAACCAAAATAGGATCACCAGATGTCGGATCTGACACCGAACACAACAAGCTTTCTCACAAACGGTTGTAAACGCTCAGACATCTGCATCGGTATGTATTAATACCCCCCCCCCCCCCCCCCCCACTGTAACAAACTGACTTTTGTTTAACAACCTCTGCGATTTAGAGAGCGGGCCTTAAAGCGTTTTGCACAAACACGCACAGGGCCCCCTCTGTGTGTTTGTGCACCGAACGCACTCATACATTACGTCCATAGTGTTGTTTCTGTGTGTTGCTGCGGCCCGAGGGCACGAGGCCTAATTATAACATGCTTCTGATTAATCGTGTGCAGCGCCGCCACACACGCTCCCTAAACCAAGTCAATAACAACGTTCAGGATCACTCATAGTCTTGTCAGCTCTGTTTGCTAAAGCCCGTAGAGTCCAGCCAACGAGAGGATGCTAACACCCACACACACACACCCACACACACACTCTGGAAAAGTATGAGGACTCACATCACCTACAGCGTACAGGTACACACACACACACACACACACACACACACACACACACACACACACACACACAC